AGTACTAAAAGTAAGAGCGAGGAATGCAACTCAGTATTTGAAAGCTACTAAAATAGCGGATTACGATAAGAGTTCGTTTGAATTAATCCAACCGATGACACACACAGGACAACGTTTATTTTATTAATTCATTGGAGGAGAGTGAAGGAGTTTGTGTGACAAACTTCACGATTCCCGAGATCCCTTTATCCATTAAATGGAATCCTTTCAAAAAATAGTATAACGTTCTATGCATGAGAAGAGAAATGTACAAGCTTTTTAACACTTGATACATTTTGTAATGAGAGTGCGGTCATAAATGATGTACTTCAACGATTTCTTATCTACGACAATGTTTACACAAGACAGCCAATGAGAGCGTCGGATATCACGAGTCTACCAATCACACCTGATGTTATCGCCCTGTGACAGTGTTTACACAAGCTAGCCAATGAGAGAGTCGAATGCTACGAGTTAACCAATCACAATGTTGGGTTTCTTTCAATTCCTTGTCGCAGGCAAATTTGTCAGTCGTCTTTGAGAAAGAAAAGAATAAACTGGTGATTTTCGAGGACTAGTGGTGTGGCGGTGAAAAGCGACAATAAATATATGTTAATGTGTGACAAAATAAAGGTATACGGGATTGTGTACTGTTACGCACAAATATATATTGGAAGGAGTACTTTTTATAGAGTAGATTGCTTCTGAAATCACGAAAGTTGTGACAAAGTGCTCACATATTCTTATTTTCATGTAGTGTGTGTACGGTCAATATTCGTTATTAGTTCGAGTGCGTTAATTGTGTATGTCTTCCAGTGTTCTCTGTAGAGAAGTAGTGGCCTGAGGAGCAAGTGATATTGAAACGGAGTTGTCGAAACCCGCTATACAAGGAATTATGGCAAAGCGTTCTGGGAAAAAAACATTAAACTACAGAAAAGGTAAGTTTCACATAAGCCATAGTTTTATTAGTACTTTGTATTTTACGGTAGAATTGGGGGTGAATGGTTCAGAAATTTTCTTGTGGTAATAGATACATTATACCTTTAGTTGCTAACAATGTCATTTACATGGCAATGGCGATTGTCGGAAAATCATCGTTATGAATGCTTTCCTTTTCCCCGTTAGGTAACTAGCTTCGTAATGATTTGCTTGTTTTCCAGTATAACGAAATTGTATGATCATGGTTCGTAGCTAGTAAGGCTAGTTACCATAATAGTTAACAAAGAAGTGGGGACGCCATTGATCTCTGTTGCCTGATGTTAAGTTACGACCGCGCCTCAATCATTATTATATTATCCTTACCATTGCCACAATCATGCCATTATCATATATACTCACAGTTAAATCGTCATCTTTGTTTACCACATTTTTACAACTGATATCGTTTATCGTTAGTATTGCTATTATTATTTCAGTATAATCACTATTGTTATGAAAGTCAGGTCACTGAACTAAATACAGAATTTTCGACCATATTGGTTCATTCATTGTAATCTGACCTTATCTGACACCGGAGTAGCCGCAGTTGCACGACCGTAGGTGCAGGAAGAGCATGCATGTAAAATGACAGATATAAAGATACACAAGCGAAACCCTTATAATTACCACACACGCATATACAATGATGCGCATGTGCACACGCGCGCACGCACACACACGCTCACGCGCAAATATACATATATATATACGCACACACATACATACACACACACACACATAAACACACACACACACATAAACACACACATACACACACACATACACACACACATACACATTCACATTCTCACACACACATACACACACACACATACACACACACACACATACACACCACACACACACAATCTCACATACACACCACACACACATACACTCACACATACACACACTCACCACACACATACACACACTCACCACACACATACACACACACCACACACATACACACACACCGCACACACAGACACACACACACGTACACATATGTACATACGTATGTCTACCCTACACCCTAAGCTTGCCACCTAACATACTCTTGTAGGGCCCATCATTCGCCCCCCCCCCCACACACACATGTGCACTCATTAGCACACACGTATGTGTATATACATTAGCATACAGACGTCCGCACACACACGCATGTCCACATGTGCACATAAACATACACATTGTACACAGGTACACACAAACACATGCACACATGTACACACGCACACATGTACACACGCACACACACACTATCGCACACATGCACTCAAAAACGCACCCATGTACATACACACATACATACTTGTACACGCATACACTCACAAACGCACACACATCATACATACACATGTACACAGACATAGACACATCCACCTGTGCTCACACATATATACATATACACACATTGTATACACACATGGACATATTTACGTACACATGCACACTCACGTAAACACGCAGACATATACACACACTCACATGAACACATATACACATGTGCACGCCCACACACAGATGTACACATCCACTCACATGTACAAACACCCACACACATGTACACACATACACACACCCACGCACGTGTACACACATATACACACCCACGCACATGTACACACATACACCCACCCACGCACATGTACACACATATACACACCCACGCACATGTATACACATATACACATGTACACATGTACACGCATACACACACTGTAAGGCCCATTTCACACATGGCCCTTCTTCATAACACACCTAGCCTATCCCCAGGGAGACCCGCTAATGGATCTTGAGGGTCGCACATAACCCTTTAGCTAAAGGACTCCCTTGGGACTTCTCGTAGCAGACTCCTTCCCGTGTCCTACTATTGCCATACATATAACACTATTAACTTGTAAATATATACCCAATACAGAAACACCAATCTCTACAAACCAATACCTTTGCTCAACACAACAGCGGATGCGACATTCGCGGGCCTTCCGTCTCGTGACGTCGCCCCGTTTACACGATCACTTCCTTCCTCAACACTTCCCAGTACATCGCAACCCTTGTGAATTCCTATTTCAACCTGTATAAAAGAGGGTCGCCTGCGAGCGACAGACAGACAGCCTACGGCACGCTGACCGGACCAGACCTCTGTCCGTCAGTTGTACTATACTCTCTCTCGAGAATAAACTGCTACAAGTTACCGAGAAGTCTTTTACACCTGACCACTACCCAAGATTTCTGCATCGTGCCAGACGCGCCCTGTCTGCACTCCGACGCAAAATCGGCCTCCCTACACACACCCACGCACATGTACACACATCCACTCACATGTAAACACACTCACACACATGTACATACACACGGATATGTACACATATGCACTATCAAGTGCACACATGTACTCACAAATGCGTACACACATGGACACAAATGCACACATTATACACACACATGGACACAAATGCACACATTATACACACACATGGACATATGTACGTAGACATGCACACACATATAAACATGCACACATACACATGTATCCGCACTTGTTCACACACAAATGTACACACATACACATGTTCTCACACACATGTGTACATCCACACCCACACACATGTGTACATCCACACCCACACACATGTGTACACACACCCCCACACATGTACACACACCCACACACATGTACACATACCCACAACCACGTACACACGCCCACACACATGTACACACACCCACACCCACACACATGTACACACACCCACACCCACACACATGTACACACACCCACACCCACACACATGTACACACACCCACACCCACACACCCTGAATCTTCTGGCAAAGTTCTCTTTCTGTAAATACAGGATTTACTTTACTTCGATTACTTTAAATAACTCAGGAACAACAATGTCAAGCGAGACAAGAGGCCCCGGGCTCCAGGGTAGCTCAAGTGGCACAAGACTTTGTATTTGTTGCTACTGCGTTAGAAAGGTGTTGTCTCGTCAAGAGTTCAAACACGAGTGTTGGCACTTTGATCTTAGCCAAATTCCGAGAAGCGATACCGAAAAACAGGTAAAACTATTTCCCAGATAATGTTTCTGACGACTTACTGGTCAAGGCCATTTATTTGCAAACGTCATAAGTGACCTCTTGTTAAGCATTTTTCGATACAGAAGATAACGTGTATGTCTTTTATAAATAATCACCTTATCTCCTATCGCATTCTTTATTATATGACTATACTTGTGGTATAAATTGTGATATATTAGACAGTTGCTTGAAATAAGTGTACGCCAATGAAGTTTATAACTTTTCTTTATGAGAATTGTAGAACTCAATCACTAACTTCCTCTAAATAAGATTAAAGGTTTGCATGTGATTGTTGTAATGTAATTAATTCTCTAACTGAATTATATCCATGTGCTCTGTGAAACATCAAATTTTGAGTCTTATATGGTGTGCGTACACACGCATACGCATTCATGTGTATATTGTATGCTGTGAACAAACTGTATTTAGTGGTGCGTAGAGAAATATGTTTTTTATAACGTTCTAAAGTTATTTCTAAAAAGAACATTACATGTCCTGTTTCCATTATAAAGCTCTTTACAATTTTATACATTTCTTGATTGGAAGAGTACATAATGAAAATATAGGTCGACGGGGTATATAAATATCAAATTAATGTTCAATTTTTTAATTATTAGTATTTGTGAATTATATTTTTATTTTTAGGAATTGCGTAGACTCCGATTTAACGTATTTGAAATTAAATCCACACATAATTTTAAGAACAAGCAATAATTTGTAATTAACAAGGACTAACAGACTGTTTTCCAAGTTGTAAAATTAAGTGTGGGCGGATAAATTTCAAATATCAATTTGGGATTTAATCAGTACTAGGTAAAAGTATAATATAATTTGGACCGAAATTCCCTATCAGATTCCCCCATTAAACAAATCCAGTTGCTACTTGCATAACTGTGTTGTAGCACTGGTTCTCAGTGGTGAGCGAGCGTGGGTCCGCGTGTGGGTTAGGAGAGCATACTTACCTTCACCGGAGATACCGTGATACACGAAGGCGGTTCTCCCGGGGCGAGGGCTCACCATTGCACTCCCGGGGCGCTGACCCTGCGTTAACCCAAATGTGGTTAATCGAGTGCGCAATTTTTGTAGCGGGGGACTGCTTCGCGCTATCCCCCTACAACTTTCATTTTAATATAAGAATTGTTCAGGATCCACTTGCCCATCTAGTCAGCTCCTTTAAGTGTTCTTTACTTTCACATATGTCCGCTAGTTTTTGTCAAACGATCCCATTGGACGTTTTACAGATAATCGTTTCGAGGATATTTAGTTTGTCATAAAATGTTTTCAAGTACTCAATGCAGAGGAAAATCTCGGTCAATGTAGTCTTTGTATTGACATCAACAAAACATTTACCATTCTTTTAAAGCTATATGCAAGGTTATTTGCAAAATTATGAAGTGTTTTGAAGGGTATCCTTTCCACTTGCCATTTCACGACAATTCGATCAGAGCAATGTAAAGCTATATATGTATGCTACATACATATATATACTAATGCAAAGAAGCGGTCCTCTATAATTTTGCGCCTGGAAATATATCGATGTACCAGAGTAGAAAAAATTTGGCATTTACAGACGCCTAATTTGAGATGATAGTGATATTGATAATAACTTTTGACACTGATTCATATAGTTCATTAGTTTGTCTTGATTTATGAGAAATTAATCTCGAGGTACTTGTGTTATAGAATAACACGACAGACATACTGTAATCCCAAAAAGTATTAACTGTCGATTCCTGACACGGTGGAGAGGAATGACGTAAGGCTTCACCTT